ATCCAGGTGCTCTGGGAAAACAGAGAACTCAACTCTCACGTGAGAGGAGGACTCCGAATTCAGAAAGGAGTAGCGTGCTCATTGGCAACCCTTTGATAAAGGGGAGCACTGCTAAACACTATCACGAGAACAGCCCACGGAGCGAGGAATCCAACTCCTCACAAAGGGAGAGAATTCAAACACTTGAAAGAAAGCACCATGCTCACAATAACCCTCAATGGTGAAGGGAACGATGCTTCAAAAGTGTGTCAACAGAGACACACTGGTTGAGTGGAGCCCAAGGCGAGTACCGGGGTCTAAGCCAACTCAGAGAAAGGGCACGAGGCTAATAACGCATAACCCTTACCATACAGGATTTCAGAAAGTGCGCAGCGTCTTAGCGTGCACACTTACCACTATGTCAATTTTAGAAAGTGCGCAAAGTGCTCAGCGTGCACACTTACCACCATGTGGATTTCAGAAAGTGCACAAAGCTTAGCGTGTGCACTTACCATAGCATGGATTTAAGAGCTTACCAAGCATCTGCTCACAGATGCCCGCAAGTACTGAGCCAAACGGGAGTGGCAAGCTCAAATATAACCCTCTGAGATGAGGGGAGCACTGCCTGAGACAGCACAAGAAGGTTCTCGCAAATGCCCCCAATACTTCCCACTCAATGCCTCAGCAAGAGGGGATATCCTGTTGACCAGGAAGCCCCTCAGGGCGACCTAGATACGGTGTACCAGACAGGGCAGCCTGAAAGCATAAGCCCAGCCCGGACGTCCTGGAAATTATACTTCCTGCTCGATGCCTCAGCAAGAGGGGATATCCTGGTGACCAGGAAGCCCCTCAGGGCGACCTAGATACGGTGTACCAGACAGGGCAGCCTGAAAGCATAAGCCCAGCCCGGATGTCCAGGAAATTTTGCATTTTGCGGGGGCCTGATGATCAAGAAGGCTCCCGCAGAAGCCTGTGATCTGGCCGCATGATACAGGAAGCATGAAGCCGGAACCAGGGCTATCATACCGACTGGATACAACATCGACAAGTGAGGTAATCACTGCAAGTCGAGAACCCGGTTTCTGAATCCAGCATAGGGGGTGTTTACCGAGGACCTACCCTAGAAATGGACAGAAACATACAGGTCCTGGAAAAGACTGCAAAGAAAGCTCGCAGATGGAATACACACAACCACCAGCGTATTAAATATATATTTTTATAAAAATGGATCGTATTCACCCAGCATGGTTCAAGAAGTGACCCGAAGAAGCCTCTAGTCCGGACCATCAGTAAGGTGGTTACTATGAAGCCATAGAGCCAACCGAAACATCATAGGTCCAGCATAGAAGGAAGTTCCTACCTAACCTCGATTAGGTGGAGAGATGGTGGTTACAGGGGAATTAGGAAGGGGAAGATAAGGGCAGATGTTAAACCCCCTGAGGGAAATGAGTAGATACTCAAGCATCACTCTGATCTGGACGAAAGCGCTGACGCCTCGTCTAGATCACATCCCTTAGGTCTTGCCTACCTCCCTTTGATCCGCGATTCCTCCTACCCCTACCCGCAGGCGGGGGAGGAGAGCAAGCCGCAACACTAGCCTTCTGTGCCCGTCTCTGATCCTCAGACCAAGACTGGCCAGGACCCCTGGGTTGTTCGGGCTCAGACCTGGACCTTCATGGAATTAAGGATTTGAAGGCCGCTGAGCGCGCCTTCGCCTCCCTGAACTTCTCAACCACCATCTCGA